ACGATTAGTGAACCACAAGTTACGTGGTGGCATTTCTGTGTCGGAACACACGAGCCAGTTCCAGGATCTTGTGAATCAATTGAGCACCACCGGATGGGTCCTCAAAGATGAAGAACAAGCAATACTTTTGCTTAGCTCTCTACCTGATAATTGGGAGACTCTTGTTGTTACTCTCAGTAATTCTGCCCCAAATGGTGCCGTGACTATGCAGATGATCACGGACGCCTTGATGAATGAGGAAGCACGAAGGAAGGAAGCTGGGACTGATCAGTCTTATGCTCTCGTCTCAGAAACCAGCAGGCGAGGGGGAGGCAGAAATGGAGGTAGAGGACGAGGTCGAGGCAGAGGCAGATCTCGAGGTCAAAGTAGAGGGAGATCTCAAGTTCGAGGAAGGTCACAAGAGCGGGGGAAGTCCGTCGATACCAATACTTGGTTCGAGGGCTATTGCAACCATTGTGGTCATTATGGGCACAGAAAGAGGGAATGCCGAAAGTTTCTACGGGAGCAGCCTCAGACGAGTCAAAGTTCAAGCAAGGAAGATGGTGAGACCATGGTCACCATGGCACCGGACATTGCACTTGTTACTTGCGGAGAAGAAGCAAACCTACACGTAGGTACGCATGATATTGAGTGGGTGATTGATACCGCTGCATCATTTCACGCCACTCCGCACCAAAGTCTATTTGCAACTTATAATTCCGGAGACCATGGTGCTGTGAAGATGGGAAATACGAGTTTCTCGAACATTGTTGGCATTGGAGATGTGCACATTCAAACAAGTGTTGGCTGCACACTTGTGTTGAAAGATGTTCGACATGTTCCAGATCTGAGATTGAATCTTATCTCAGGAGTTGCTCTGGATCGTCAGGGGTATGAAAGCCAGTTCAAAGAAGGTACGTGGAAATTATCTAAAGGCTCTATGATTATTGCAAGAGGTCATATTTGTGGTACTCTTTACAAAACCCATGTAAAGTTGTGTCGTCCAAGTCTCAATGTTGTTCAAGCAGAGACATCACCAAATCTGTGGCACTGGAGGTTAGGTCACATGAGCGTGAAAGGACTGACAACTCTTGCAAAGAAGGAAGAAATCTTTATTGATAAAGATGTCGCTCTGGATCCCTGCGAGCACTGTCTATTTGGGAAACGACATCGAGTTTCTTTCAGTTCCACTAGAAAGAATCATTCTGAAATACTCGATCTTGTCCACTCTGATGTATGTGGACCCATTGAAGAGGAGTCACTTGGAGGCAGCAGATATTTTGTGACATTCATTGATGGTGCGTCACGAAAGGTATGGGCTTATTGTCTCAAATCTAAGGATCAAGTATTTGATCGCTTTAAAATATTTCATACTATGGTAGAAAGAGAGACAGGAAAGAAGCTGAAGTGCCTTCGTTCTGACAACGGAGGCGAGTACACTTCCCGGGAGTTCTTAGCATATTGTGCTGAACATGGAATCGGGCATGAGAAGTCGGTGCCACGGACCCCACAACACAACGGTGTAGCCGAAAGAATGAATCGAACTATTGTGGAGAAAGTTCGGTGCATGCTCAGTATGGCTACATTACCAAAGCCATTCTGGGGCGAAGCTGTGTTGACAGCTTGCTATCTTATAAACAGGTCACCCTCAGTTCCCTTAAACTTTGAAGTTCCTGAGAAGAAATGGTCAGGAAAAGACATTTCTTACTCTCACTTGAAAGTGTTTGGGTGCAAGACCTTTGCACATGTGTCCAAAGAGTTGAGGAAAAAACTTGATCTTAAGTCGAACCCATGCATCTTCATCGGCTATGGAGATCAAGAATTTGGATACCGGTTGTGGGATCCCGAAATGAAGAAAGTTATTCGAAGTAGAGATGTGGTGTTTCATGAATCCCAATTTCATGATCTTACTCCAACAAACAACAAACAACATATCTCTCATGCTCCTGAAGACGTTCCTGTAGTATCACACGTTCCTCTCAACAATGAGGAAGTGAGTGATAATACTGAACCAGTGAATGATGGCCCAGTAGTTGTTGATGATGTTCAAGATGGAGGGATTCATGAGCAGGGGGAGCATTCATCTGAAGGCCACACTGACAACACACAACTTCGACGTTCTACGCGAGGTACTGTTCCACAAAGAAGGTACCCGACATCTGAATGGATCCTTCTTACCAGCGAGGGGGAGCCAGAGAGCTTTCGAGAAGCTCAATCTCATCAAGACAAGTCCAATTGGTGGGAAGCCATGGGAGATGAGATGAAATCCTTGCAGAAGAACCAAACTTATGACTTGGTGCCACTTCCCAAAGGAAAGAAAGCCTTGAAAAACAAATGGGTTTTTAAGGTGAAGAAAGATGTCAAGGGAAATATTGTGAAGCACAAGGTAAGACTCGTGGTCAAAGGATTCCAACAAAAACAGGGAATTGATTTTGATGAGATCTTTTCGCCGGTTGTGAAGATGATGTCGATCCGAGTGGTACTCGGGTTGGTTGCCAGTCTAAATCTTGAACTTGAACAGATGGATGTGAAAACAGCATTTCTCCATGGTGATCTGAGAGAGGAAATATACATGGAGCAACCCGAAGGTTTCCAAGTTCCAAAGAAAGAACATCTTGTTTGCAGGTTAAAGAAGAGCCTGTACGGCCTCAAGCAAGCCCCGAGGCAATGGTACAAGAAGTTCGACTCATTCATGGTGAAGCACCAATACAGGAGAACAATGGCAGACCATTGCGTGTACTTGAAGAAGTTCCCAGATGGAAAATTTATCATCCTTCTGCTCTATGTGGATGCATGATATGCTGATAGTAGGCCAAGATGTGTCCCTCATCAACAACTTGAAGCAAGATTTGTCTAAGTTTTTTTATATGAAAGATTTAGGCCCGGCGCAACAAATTTTGGGCATGAAAATTGTTCGTGATCGGAAGGCAAGGAAGTTGTTCTTATCACAAGAAGAGTATGTTGAACGCGTGATCAAAAGGTTCAACATGGATAATGCCAAACCTGTAGGCACTCCGCTAGCCAATCACTTCAAGTTGAGTAAGGAAAGTTGTCCTTCTTCTGAGAAAGAAAAGGAGATGATGAAAGCAGTACCCTACTCTTCAGCAGTAGGAAGTTTGATGTATGCAATGGTGTGTACAAGACCTGATATTGCTCACGCGGTTGGTGTTGTAAGTAGGTACTTGTCAAATCCAGGAAGAGAACATTGGGAAGCTGTCAAATGGATACTTAGGTATCTGAAGGGTACATCAAAGCTATGCTTGTGCTATGGGGGAGCGAAACCAATCTTGGAAGGTTATACAGATGCTGATATGGCTGGAGATCTTGATAGTAGAAAATCTACTTCAAGTTACATATTCACATTAGCAGGGGGAGCCGTCTCATGGCAGTCCAAGTTGCAGAGGTGTGTAGCATTGTCTACGACAGAAGCTGAATACATTGCCGCTGTTGAAGCCGGAAAGGAGCTCAAGTGGCTGAAACGTTTTCTCCAAGAGTTGGGCTATCCTCAAGAGGAGTACATCATTCATTGTGATAGTCAGAGTGCTATGGATCTTAGCAAGAACTCGATGTATCATTCACGCACAAAACATATCGATGTTCGATATCACGTGCTTAGAGAAGCAATTGAGGAAGATGAACTAAAGCTCTCCAAGATACACACAAACAAAAATGCGGCCGACATGCTAACTAAAGTGGTGCCACACGAGAAGCACAAGCTATGTACAAGCATCATTGGAATGAGAGAATTACGGAAAAAGCTGGAGGGGGAGATTTGTAGGATTGCTGCAGCTCCCATACACACACCCACTCCATGGCATGAAGCTCCATCCTCCATCAATTAAAAGGTATGGGAAGGCATGGGAAGGCATGGGAAGGCATGGGATGCTATATGGGCTGCATGCAATTGTCTCCCAGCATTTCCCTATAAATAGGGTGGTTCTAGCTTGATCAAACGTATCAAAAATCGGAGAGAAAAGTAGTGAGAGTGATACACATAGAGTGAGTGTGACACCGCACCCGAACGTCCTTGAAAATTCGATTTAAAAATTCAAAAGTGATGTATTGAATTTCCAATTTCAAAACAATGGGAGAAACGATTAATATTTTACGAAGTACATGATTGAATATTGTATTGTTCAAACCCGCATTCTTTTGTAATTTTCATCGTGTAAATTATTGGGATGAGCCTACACATATTGGAGATCAATAATGTGATTTAGGAAGTTGACTTGTTCTAAATAAATTAGGATGAGTACAAAAAGACATCTTTGACAAAGATAAAACAATAGGACCCATCTTCCCATTTTTTGGAAGTATTGGTAGATATTTTGGACCCCAAATTTAATGGGATCAATTGGGAACCACTCCACATGGTATTAGTACCTGCAAAACAAATAAAAATGGGTTAGGAGACTTACCTTGGCCGGCCATTATGGAGAAGAGCTGCACATGACTTGATAAGAATCAAAGTTTGGGGCCACCACTCTTATTTTCGCACAAATTGGTGTGCTGTTTGTCTCCTCTCATTATAGGAGCTATCCTCAACCAAATAACGTGTATGAGGTGTCCTTGGATAGCCTTTGAAGTCTATTATCTCAATTGAGTGGTCTTTGTTCGAGGAGAGAAGGCTTATCTTGCAAAAATCGAGCTGGAACGAGCAAAGGTCTGTGAACTCGAGCTGTGAGAGTGCTGAGACTGTTTGGTCGATATCTCGAGTTTTACAAGTCCAATTAAGGCGTGTGAGATACCCACAGAAAGCTCTCAAGACGAGGAATCCGTGAAGGTCTGGTTTGCAGGAATCGGAGTTGTGGAAGGCTTCCAAATCGTCCGAGCAAAACACAACCTCGCAGGAGAGGATTTAATCTTCTAAAGTGAGTTTTAACCCCAAAGCTTTACTTTTCATTCTCCAAATGATATGAACGATTGGTGAGACTATTATACACTAATCCAAGTGTATAATATGTCCCTAAAAAGTTATCTTATTGATGTAAAGGTTAGATACTAACCTAGATGCAAATATTGGAAAACTAGGAATCGAGTTAGCCGGAAAACACCCGTTCTAGGGGCTGTTTTCGTATCAACGATTAAGGGTTGAACTAGCACTTTGAGGAGGCTGTTTAACACTCATATTTGAGCAAGGAATCAGTCCCAAATCCACCTTGACCAAAGATTTGACCATTGGACCAAGAAGGGAAAGTTTAAAGCTCAATTGAGGTGAGGATTGACATCTAATTGCTTACAACTTGTAGGTTAAGCATGAGATTACCTAAATGCTTAAATCATGATTTTTCATGGATTATGATGATTATATATTGATGAAATATTGATATAGTTGCCAAAGAATGAAATTTGAAATGATTTGAGAAGGTATGAATAATATGAGATTAAATGAGTATAAAAGAACCATTTTGTGAAAATGGGTATTTTACTCATGTATGAATTATGTGGATACATAAATGAATATTTGTGTATTGAGATTAAATACTTAAGTTGCTGCTACGTAATTATAAATATGTAGAGAATTACAAATAATGAGGATAATGGTATGATAACAATAATCTTAATAGTATTGAAATACTAGTTAGTGATTATTGGGACTTGTTGATTAAATTGATCCTAGGGATTGGATTGTATGAAAGGTACTTGAATATAGTTCAAGTGTATATAATACTTAGTATGGAACTAAGGTTGAGTTATGGGAAGTCTTTAAGGATGACCCATGGTAGTTTAATGATATGTTAATTCTAGGCATAGGGTTGCTTGAGAATTGGACCTTAATGCATGGTGATGTGATAGAGCCGAGCTCTAGAATGCATGTAAGGTGTAGACTTGGAGTCTATGTATTGTATAGCTAGAGCCGAGCTCTAGGACTTGCGTGGTGATGTGATAGAGCCGAGCTCTAGAACGCAAGGTAGGGAAATTGACCCGAGGTATATGAATTGTATGGTGATGTGGTAGAGCCGAGCTCTAGAATACAATGTCATGTACTAGGGTTGGACTCTAGGAGTTGTCGTGGCTTATAGTCACGGGGTTGGGAATGGTGATTTCCAAATGAACATGGGCCCACGGGCCGTCTACTTGACCTTTATATAAAGTAAGTATATTTTTAAACAGGGTAACTTTGGGTTACAATCATAATGTACTATCACCCTATTTGAGGGTCTTGTGTTTGAAATACTTGTTGTATATCTATTAGATGCCTGCCACACCAGCACTTTATAGCCGTATAGAGTGCTGACCCCTTCGGGGGCGTCCCACCACCATTTTTCAGGTTGAGGCTAGAGCTTGCTTCCTGTGCTCGTTGCTCGAGAGATCATCTAGGAGCGAAGACTTGGTTCGTGCTTCCTCCATTCGGATTTTAAACATTAATAAACATGCTCATGGATATTTTATTATAGAGCCTGCGTGCTCATGAATAGCCCTGTGTGGCCCTTTTGTTTTAAACAATGTTTTCCGCTGCTTTATGAATTACTTATTATGTTGTTTATGGATGACTTATGTGTGAATGATATTCATGACGCCTTGTATAATATGAATGTGTTGGACTGCGGTTGACTATTCGTATTGTACGGCGGGTTGTTGACGTGTCCGGGGAGGTCCGGGGCGTGACAATTAAGTTGGTATCAGAGCCTTAGTCCATAAACTTCATAATGAAGTCTCAAAATTCTCTTTTTGGAAAGATTTTGAAAAACCATGAGCATAGAAGTTTTGTACTTGGAGAGCTTTTGGTACTTGGGTTGCAAGGTCTCTAATTGTTAAGATGGTACCCTTAGCAATTGGTATGGCGGTGACTCGAGCCAGAATGTGTCTTAAGTACCTATCCGTCAATTGACATTTGATACGAGTCTAACGACTCTTTCCAAATTCTTTCAGAAATGGACCGTGGTGGCAGGATTACTAGGAGAAACCCGACCGGCCGTGTACCAGTGGAGACTGGACAGGGCAGTCGAAGGACCTCTAGGGCATCTAGGGGAGCTGGCCGTGGAGGCCGATCACAGACCGTGAGTGACGGTCATGTGGACACAGAAAGTGAAACCTACTGGTCCTATGAGGACTCGACTTACCAACCGGAAACTGAGCCGGTTGAGACCCCTTACGAAGGGGATGACGATGATGTAAGTGATGAAGAGGGGGAGAATGACTCCCTAGCAAGAATTGAGGCGCTGCTCCAACAATATCAACGGGAGCGCGAGGAAAGGAGGCAACGCCGAAGACGGCGAGCGGGGCAACCTTCGGGCATGGCTTCGAGAGGAGGAAGTCGTGGTGCATCTAGAGTCCATGTGGAACCACATGGAGGCCAAAATGATGGAGGTCCAACCATAAGGATCTCCAAATTTATCAAAGAAGCAAGAGATTTGGGGTGCAAACCCTTTGATGGAGCAGGGGACATTTCAGTTGCAGCACAATGGATTAAGAGGCTAAATGAAGCAGCCCTTGACATGCAAATCGCGCCAAATCTCAAACTGAGAATTGCGGTAAGATTGCTCGAGGGGATGGCATCCAAGTGGTGGGATGGAACCAAGAGCAAGTACGGTGAGACCGTCGTTTGGGAGGACTTCCAACGGGAGTTCTTTGCCCAATATTATTCTGATTTTGAGGTGAACAAGAAGGTGAGGGAATACACCCTCCTGACCCAAGGAGGTAACATGACAGTGAAGGAACTTGAGTACAAGTTCCGGGATCTCGCCGACTACATACCGGAGTATGCTTGTGACGAGAACCGAATGGTAAACCACTTTTGGGATGCTCTTGACTTGGAGATACGTGATAGGGCAACACAATTGCCTAATATGACCTTCGCCCAAGTGGTTGACCAAGCGTTGAAGGGGGAGAAACAGTGGGAGGAGAGGAAGAAGAGAGACGCCGAGGAGGCGAAAAAGAGAAAATGGGAGAGTCATGGCTCCCAAGGTTCCAACAAAAAGGGGAACCATGGAGGAGGATCTTTCCGGGCACCGCCGCCACCGTCTAGGGGGAATCAAGGCCCGAGTGGGCAAGGCTCGAGGTCACAAACCTCGGTGGTAACTCGTTGCAACAATTGCAAGAGGAACCACTCCGGTAAATGTCGCGACCCCCCCTAGATGTTTTCAATGTGGGGATGCCGGGCATTTGAAGGCGCATTGCCCACAATTGGGTGGGACAAGGACATCGGGACCGAGCAGTGGCCCGACGGGTACATGGAATCAAACCGGAGCTTCTCAAGCGAGCCGGGGACATGGGGGAGCGAGTACGAGCAACGCGCCATCCGTGAATCAAGGAAGAACTCAAGCTAGAGTTTATGCGATGACGGAGGCGGATGCTCGAGCTAACCCGGACTCGGTTGCAGGTATTGCCTCTTGCACAATTGTATTTTGTCCATATTTAATCCATAAATTGATGACATAAGTCATAGGGATTGAGTGCGAGCCATTTCGGGGTCAAACGGCGAAATTCGGGCCAAAACTGACCAAAAACAGGGACGCACGATCGTGCGTCCAACCCCACGCACGATCGTGCGTAGGGGGCAGTGGTTCCGGGTGATGTTCGCGCAGGACGCACGACCGTGCGTGCCGGTACGCACGCCGTGCGTGGACGCACGATCGTGCGTGTCCGGGTACGCACGACCGTGCGTAACCGGCAGTAGCCGGAAGCGAATTTTTCCATGCACGCACGACCGTGCGTGCCCCACGCACGACCGTGCGTGGACCCCAGCCGCCCGAAACCTAAGTTTTTCATCTCGTTCTTCTACGATTGGACCCCCGTTTGATTCCGAACATCTATATGAACCTATTAACCTCCAAAAAGTGTCCTAAACCATTAAAAAAGGTGTCTTACATGGTTCATGAATGTAGGGACACTAAAGATTAACGGGAAGGATGCACGAATCCTTATCGATACCGGAGCGCAACGTTCATTCGTGAGTGAGGCGTTTGCCGAGAGCTTAGAGATGCAATCAATACCAATGACACAAACCTTAGTGGTATCAACCCCACTAGGGGAAGACGTTGAAAGAAACAATTACTATCCATCTTGTATGGTGGAAATCGGTGGCCAAACCTTGACGTGTGATTTCGTACCGCTGAGTATGATGGAGTTCGATGCAATCCTAGGGATGGATTGGCTAGAAAAGCATCATGCTAGGGTAGATTGCTACACAAAGGTGTTGGAACTCGAAGGCACGCATGGGGACACCCTACGCTTCGAGGGGGACCGCGGCAAATCAAATAGTTGTATCATATCCGCCGTGAGAGCGAGAAATATGATGAGGAAGGGATGCCACGCATATCTAGCATACGTGGTTGACAAAACCAAAGAGGGAACGAACATCGATGATGTGAGGGTGGTTTGTAAGTATCCGGATGTCTTCCCTAAAGACCTACCGGGGCTTCCACCTGACAGGGAGATTGAATTTGTGATCGAGGTCGAGCCTGGTACCAAACCAATCTCCATACCGCCATACCGGATGGCACCCGCTGAACTTAACGAGTTAAAAACCCAATTGCAAGAGCTTTTGGATAACGGTTTCATTAGACCAAGCCACTCCCCGTGGGGAGCACCGGTTCTTTTTGTGAAAAAGAAAGATGGGACACTTCGAATGTGCATTGACTATCGTCAACTGAACAAGGTCACAATCAAGAATAGGTATCCGTTGCCTAGGATTGATGACTTGTTTGATCAACTACGAGGAGCAACCGTGTTTTCGAAGATTGACTTAAGGTCGGGGTACCATCAATTGAAGATTAAGGAAGATGACATACCAAAGAGTGCTTTCCGCACAAGGTATGGGCATTTTGAGTTCCTTGTTATGTCGTTTGGGTTAACAAACGCCCCGGCGGCATTCATGGACTTGATGAACCGAGTATTTCATAAATACTTGGATCGATTCGTGATTGTGTTCATAGATGACATCTTGATTTACTCAAAGAGTGAAGAAGAGCATGAGGAGCACTTGATACTTGTTCTTGAAACACTACGGGAGAAGCAACTCTATGCCAAATTTTCTAAATGTGAATTTTGGCTAAAGGAGATTGGCTTCCTCGGGCACGTGGTTTCGGGATCGGGGATTGCTGTTGATAACAAGAAGATAGAAGCCATCACTGAATGGGAGAGGCCAAAGAACGTCAAGGAAATTCGTAGTTTCCTTGGATTGGCAGGCTACTATAGAAAGTTCGTGGAAAAGTTCTCTGTTTTGGCATCGCCATTGACGAAGCTCACTCGTAAAGGAGCTAAGTTTGTATGGGATGACAAATGTGAGAAAGGGTTCATGGAACTAAAGAAGAGATTGACTGAGGCACCGGTACTTGCATTACCCAAACAAGGTGTGGGGTACGATGTCTATAGCGATGCGAGCATTCAAGGGCTCGGATGTGTACTGATGCAGAATGGGAGGGTAATCGCCTATGCTTCACGACAATTGAAGAAGCATGAGGTGAATTATCCTACTCATGATTTGGAGCTCGGGGCAGTGGTATTTGCACTGAAGATATGGAGACATTATCTCTACGGGGAGACATGTCACATATACACTGATCACAAGAGCTTGAAGTACGTGTTTACTCAGAAAGAGCTAAACATGAGACAGAGACGGTGGATGGAGCTGATAAAAGACTACCATCTGGTGATAGAGTATCACCCAGGCAAGGCAAACGTGGTGGCAGATGCTTTGAGCCGGAAGAGCTCGTCTGGGGCATTGATAACTAATTTGAGGGCATTAAGAGCCCAACTGGAGGTAACCAGCGATGGTGCCTTATTGGCACGATTTGAGGTGAGACCCACTTTACTTGATGAGATCAAGAAGGGTCAGGAAGCCGACGAAGAACTTATGAAGGTCCGGGAACGCATGCAAGCGGGGCCGGTGGAGGATTTCAGGGAAAGAGATGATGGTCTCTTGTTATTTCGTGACCGAGTGTGTGTACCGTCAGATGATGAGCTCCGAAAGTCCATCTTAGAGGAGGCTCATTCATCGGCTTATGCCATGCACCCGGGGGGCACGAAAATGTACCGTGATTTGAAGGAAAGTTACTGGTGGTCTGGAATGAAGAGGGAAATAGCCGAGTACATCAGTCGGTGCCTTACTTGTCAACAAGTTAAGGCAGAACATCAGCACCCAGCAGGCTTATTGCAACCACTCTCCATCCCTGAATGGAAGTGGGAGCACGTGACTATGGATTTCGTGGTAGGCTTACCACGGACTATCAGGAACTATGACGCGGTTTGGGTCGTTGTGGATAGGCTCACAAAGAGTGCACACTTCTTGCCTATCAACACTACCTACCCACTTGAGAGGTTAGCCAAATTGTATACGGATGAGATCGTGAGGCTGCATGGGGTCCCGGTGACCATTGTATCTGATAGAGACCCACGATTCACATCACGTTTTTGGCCGAAATTCCAGGAGTCTATGGGAACGAAGTTGAAGTTCAGCACTGCTTTCCATCCACAGACGGATGGGCAGTCTGAAAGGGTTATTCAGATCCTAGAAGACATGCTGAGGGCTTGTGCATTGGAGTTCCAGGGAAGTTGGGACAACCACTTAGCACTTGTGGAGTTTGCCTATAACAACAGTTATCAGGCAAGCATCGGCATGCCTCCATACGAGGCATTGTATGGGAGGAGGTGCCGTACACCGTTATGCTGGGACGAGGTTGGCATGGCCAAACTCGAGGGTACTGAGTTGGTTGAGGTCACCAAATCAAAGGTGAAGTTGATTCGAGAGAGACTCAAGGCGGCTCAGGATAGACAAAAGAGTTATGCAGATAAGCGTCGAAGAACCTTAGAGTTTAAGGTTGATGACGAGGTATTCTTGAAAGTTTCTCCTTGGAAAGGGATCATTCGGTTCCAAACCCGAGGAAAACTTAACCCACGATATATAGGTCCATTCAGAATTATAGAGAGGATTGGGGCCGTTGCATATCGTCTACAGTTGACTCCTGAGTTAGAGAAGATACATAATGTGTTTCATGTATCCATGCTTAAGAAGTATGTGCATGATCCCTCTCACGTACTAGAGAAGCCACCTGTAGAGGTACGTGAGGATTTGAACTACGCTGTTCAACCTATCAAGGTCACCGATAGAAAGGTGAAGAAGCTGAGGAGCAAAGAAGTCCCAATGGTTAAAGTCCTGTGGAAGAGCGATCGGGTCGAGGAAGAGACATGGGAAACGGAGGCTTTGATGAGGAAGCAGTATGCTTTCCTATTCGAGTAGAGCTGTGAATTTCGGGGACGAAATTCCTGTTAAGGGGGGGTGAACTTGTGACACCGCACCCGAACGTCCTTGAAAATTCGATTTAAAAATTCAAAAGTGATGTATTGAATTTCCAATTTCAAAACAATGGGAGAAACGATTAATATTTTACGAAGTACATGATTGAATATTGTATTGTTCAAACCCGCATTCTTTTGTAATTTTCATCGTGTAAATTATTGGGATGAGCCTACACATATTGGAGATCAATAATGTGATTTAGGAAGTTGACTTGTTCTAAATAAATTAGGATGAGTACAAAAAGACATCTTTGACAAAGATAAAACAATAGGACCCATCTTCCCATTTTTTGGAAGTATTGGTAGATATTTTGGACCCCAAATTTAATGGGATCAATTGGGAACCACTCCACATGGTATTAGTACCTGCAAAACAAATAAAAATGGGTTAGGAGACTTACCTTGGCCGGCCATTATGGAGAAGAGCTGCACATGACTTGATAAGAATCAAAGTTTGGGGCCACCACTCTTATTTTCGCACAAATTGGTGTGCTGTTTGTCTCCTCTCATTATAGGAGCTATCCTCAACCAAATAACGTGTATGAGGTGTCCTTGGATAGCCTTTGAAGTCTATTATCTCAATTGAGTGGTCTTTGTTCGAGGAGAGAAGGCTTATCTTGCAAAAATCGAGCTGGAACGAGCAAAGGTCTGTGAACTCGAGCTGTGAGAGTGATGAGACTGTTTGGTCGATATCTCGAGTTTTACAAGTCCAATTAAGGCGTGTGAGATACCCACAGAAAGCTCTCAAGACGAGGAATCCGTGAAGGTCTGGTTTGCAGGAATCGGAGTTGTGGAAGGCTTCCAAATCGTCCGAGCAAAACACAACCTCGCAGGAGAGGATTTAATCTTCTAAAGTGAGTTTTAACCCCAAAGCTTTACTTTTCATTCTCCAAATGATATGAACGATTGGTGAGACTATTATACACTAATCCAAGTGTATAATATGTCCCTAAAAAGTTATCTTATTGATGTAAAGGTTAGATACTAACCTAGATGCAAATATTGGAAAACTAGGAATCGAGTTAGCCGGAAAACACCCGTTCTAGGGGCTGTTTTCGTATCAACGATTAAGGGTTGAACTAGCACTTTGAGGAGGCTGTTTAACACTCATATTTGAGCAAGGAATCAGTCCCAAATCCACCTTGACCAAAGATTTGACCATTGGACCAAGAAGGGAAAGTTTAAAGCTCAATTGAGGTGAGGATTGACATCTAATTGCTTACAACTTGTAGGTTAAGCATGAGATTACCTAAATGCTTAAATCATGATTTTTCATGGATTATGATGATTATATATTGATGAAATATTGATATAGTTGCCAAAGAATGAAATTTGAAATGATTTGAGAAGGTATGAATAATATGAGATTAAATGAGTATAAAAGAACCATTTTGTGAAAATGGGTATTTTACTCATGTATGAATTATGTGGATACATAAATGAATATTTGTGTATTGAGATTAAATACTTAAGTTGCTGCTACGTAATTATAAATATGTAGAGAATTACAAATAATGAGGATAATGGTATGATAACAATAATCTTAATAGTATTGAAATACTAGTTAGTGATTATTGGGACTTGTTGATTAAATTGATCCTAGGGATTGGATTGTATGAAAGGTACTTGAATATAGTTCAAGTGTATATAATACTTAGTATGGAACTAAGGTTGAGTTATGGGAAGTCTTTAAGGATGACCCATGGTAGTTTAATGATATGTTAATTCTAGGCATAGGGTTGCTTGAGAATTGGACCTTAATGCATGGTGATGTGATAGAGCCGAGCTCTAGAATGCATGTAAGGTGTAGA